GGAGAGAGATGACCACTGGACACTGATTGGGAGCAAATGTCGGAATATGTTTCAATTTTATTTTCGAAATCTATATATATATATAATTACTTGGTCATACATTTAATAAAATATTTAATAAAATTTATTTTTATTTTTCTTCAAAAAAAATAATATATTTTTAATTAATTACTCACTCATCTGTTAAAACTATTACACCTTAATATATATATTTTTATTACTTATTTTTTGGACCAATTACTAAATTAATTCTAAATTTTAGAATAAAATATTCAAATGTGTAACGGCTAAAGTTGGAACTTAAAGTTGATTGGCACATTAAGAGCTGTAACCGCTATATTTAGTTGCATTGTTGGAAGAAAAATATGATCGACACATTTTTTTTTCTAAAAATCAGAAATACCAAAAAAAAAATTTATTTATGTTAATTTTTTTAATATATGCCACAAATATATAATTTTATAAATTATTTTATTCATGTTACTAATGTAAACCTTGCATGGTTAAAATAAAATTTAAATCTCAATTAATTTTGAATGATAAAAATAACTTAAGAAAAAGTAATAATTTTTATACTATAGAAGTACATGTCTAATTAATAAATAGAAACAACAACGTGTTTTATATCTGTACAAATACACAGTATCAAATCCTAGTTGGATTAAAGACATGTTTGCAAAACGGCGGTAGAAAGTGTGTTCTTGTAACTATTTGATTATGTTTTGTATATTTGCAACTTCTTCTTTTTCAACTTTAACGACTAACGGCGCACATACCAATCTCGTTATTTTGATGAGATTGAGACCAAATCTTCAACAAAAATTCAAAAGAGACCGATTTTGTTATGTATTCTCTCAAATATTTAAATAATCAAGTTTTGATACATAAATTATTGTCTAAAGTTTGATATATATTTAAAAATATAAATAAATTAAATACTGAGATAACCTCTTCAATCAATGGTCCGATAAATGAATAATTTAATTAATAAGTTGACCAATTCAACGATTCGTTGGTAAGAATCTTTCAGCATAAAAAGTACTAGTGATTTAGACTTGTCTAATAACAAATTACTCCCTCTGTTTCGTTTTAAATGTCGTTGTAGGGTGTCAACTTTGTTGCAAATTAATTGTCGTTGGAAATATTATATTCATTCTTACATCTTTATTCTCTTTAACAAACATTATCTCTTATCATTATCTTTAAAAACCACCCATTAATAATTCAAAAACTAAATTTAATAAGATTAAAAAATAAGATTATTACACAACCCATTAAAATCGTAATTTAGAAGTTTTAAATTAAAACGACATTTAATAAGAAACGGAGGGAGTATCATCTTCTTTTATATAAACAACAAATTATTTTTATATATATCTATATTTTTCTTTACAAGTTATTGCTTTTTTATTACACAAACAAAAAAGAAAAAAAAAGGAAAGAAAATCAAGGGAAAAATACAGGCAATTATTTGTTTTGCAATAGAGGCACTTTACCGATCGAAACTTTTTCTCCGGGGTTTGATTTTGTAGCTTCCATTCATTATTATAGGTAGACATGGCCAAAACCCGGGCCGGGTCACGACCCGGCCCGACCCACCGGGCTCAAAAACACTAACCCTAAACCGGCACGGACCTATACTCGTGCCGGGTCCGTGTACGGGCCAGGTCGTGTCCGGGCCGTGCCGGGTCCGAGCCGGGTCCGTGCTTTTTTTAAAAAAAAATATAAAAAAATAACAAAAAAATTAAAAAGAAGGGTCATCGACCCGGCCCGGCCCTGACCCTCCGGACCGAGTCATGAAACGAATGACCCTTACACGGCCCTTCTGAAATCCGGGCCGGTCCCGGACCCGTGATCAACGGGTTTTACCGGGCCGGGTCCGTGCTGGGTCAGGGCCGGGTCGGCGGAACGGGCGACCCTTTGGCCATGTCTAATTATAGGCAAGCTCCCATTCATTTTTTACAGTCATAATCAACTTCATGAACCAATTTATATTCAAGTCAAACGGAGGTTAGTAGCTCTTGCTGTCTTGCATAATAACGAAAACAACATGGTGCCAAACACAGGCAATCAGTATCTCCCACTAATAATTATTTCTTTTAAATAAATATTTGTCATCGAAATTCTTACTTGTAAAAATTGGAAAGAAAACGATTGCGGTCCCACATAGATGAAACGCAATATAAGAAGGAAAAATCTAAGTGGGGTTGTATCTCAAAATTTTGCCCTCGCACAAGTTACTAATCAATAAATTACTATGTTTGTTTGTTATTGATAACAAATCTTCTATTTCTACATAACATTTGGCTGCATTATATAAATATTTTGTTAAACAGCTCCAATTAAATTTGATATGAGTGGGTGATCTATAATCCTTAAATTTATACAAATAATATAACAAATTTGAATTTCAAATAGTTTAAAAATAAGAAATTTTAAATCCCTAAATCCAAATCTAACCTAAGGACATTGCATTGTCAACGTTGTGAATGTTTTTCTTGTCGGGCCAAAAAAATCTCAAAAACCATTTGTGATGCCCGTAATTTAAATTCTGAGTCGCCAACAACTGTTATTAATTGTCTTGTAAGTAAACGGATTCAATTTTATGTGTTATAATTTTTTTTCAAAGAATTCATACTCACCAAGAGTCTCTCCATCAAGAGATGAAATGGAACCGTTAAATGATAAAAGAATATAATTCGGTGCTGCCATTATTGCCTGAGTAGTGTTTTAGTAGCAAACACATGCCATTTCAGTGGCATGTAACTATGTAAGCCGGTAATCGGCTCTTGAATCAAACTGAAGTTGAAATTGTCGCTGGCGAATGGCAATCGTTATATCAGGAGAACTCACGTCCACCGAACAATCATGAGGTCATTCTAACAATCATCCATCTAAAATACAGGAAAAAAAAAAAAGGGCAAATTACTATGGTCATGGTGTGATAATAATAATACTAATCAATCAAACATTCTTGCACATGCAGCAACAAAGCACATAAATCAATCATAGTTCAAAGTGCCTATTTATGTCTGCCTTCTGTGAAAATACAACTTCAACATAAACAAAAGGGAAGGATTCGGAATATCTTCAAGCCCAAAGTCAGCCAATGAGGAGTAATCACAACCCTAGAAAGAGAAGAAAAAAAAAATCCCAGGTCAAAACTACTGGTTCGGCTGGCACAGCCAAACTCCAATCAAATATCAACAAATTGCATACTTGTATAGATATATAGAGAAAAAGAACTGCACTCAAGTAACATGACCACATGAGAAAAAGCTTCCATTAAACCATAAACAAGCTACAAATTCTACTGATCCTTCTCAGTGAACATCTTAGCATTTGATAGTAAAAATTAAAAACAAAAGGTAATCACAAGGAAATGGAGGATTCTTGCATCGAGCTTATTTATGGTAATATATCAGTCATTTTCTCCCCTACTGCACATGTAAATAAATCTTCGTACGAACCATCCAACAGTCATCATACACCATCGTTGCAATCTGATGAATGCATATTACAACTACATTAGCAATAAATAATTTTCCTACAAAAATTATGAGTTAGATCTAATCCAATCATTTTGGCATACTTGATTATGTCATTTATCAAAACTAAAACCAAAGATGTCCGTGTTTCTTGAATAAACAACACATTCTGATAATGGACATTGATCTTAAAAGAAAAAAAAACGGAAATGATCAAATTAGTGTTGTAGAATTCTAAGCGTTATTGTAATTCCTGGGCCGATATTGATTCTTATAAGCAAATATATCCTCTGAAGTCCAATAAGGGCAGAACCAGTATCATATTACTTTTTAGTCCATAAGAGCTTATAATCAATCTACGTTTGAAAATATTAGTAGCTCCAACAAGCGACAGATTGTAAGGAAATCAATAATCTACAAGCCAAGGATTGAAAGCCAACCACTCTTTTTTTTCATACAACTTTCAGGATTCAGTTGGAAATACCAAATTGAGCTTCAATTGAAGCCTAACGGGCAATATTCTTCCTTAATCTTGTTTCAATAATAAGAGTTGTAGCTAAAGCTATTAGCAAAGAAAACACCACCAAGTATTATGGCCAACAGAAGTTTGGCCACAAATCTAACAAATCATAAAAATCAATCATGGTTTTATTTCTACAAAATGGTTGAATATACTGGTCAATAGGTTCTAATCAATGGAAATTCTACTCTCTTTTTTTCCCAGACGAAGGATTGATAAACTGGTCTATGGGGAATAGTAAACAATTATTCACTTCACCTCCATTTCACGACCTTCATCTAGTCTTTTTTGGCCCTACAAGACGAAAAAAGAATACACCACTTTTACTTTGAGAGGTCTGAGCTGTACCTCAAATAAGAGATGCATATTAGAAAACAAAAGGGGCATTTGTATGAAGGGTTAAATGTCAAAGAACTAACATTGATATCTTCTTGAACAGGATCTATCATTAGGATAATTTCTCATGTACAAGTTATGTGCCTGTAATTTGAAAAATGTGTGAGCACTGAAGGTACAGGTTTGCATTTTTCTTGAACTGTTAACATGGAATACCACAAACGTAAACAGTCCTACAAGCCGAATATTTGATCAACTAAAATCCCGGAATAAAAAAAGCATAAATATCGAAATTTAGATGCTCATTACTGATGGGCACTTACAGAAAAACAGGTCTAATGAAATCTCAACACACGAACTATTACAAACACCATAAATGTGTGCATCCGAGGATATAAAACAATTACCTTCAAGACTCAATTACCTTCAAGAGTCCAAGCGTGGCCACGGGGAGCAACAGAGAGCATGGAATTGAGAATTGCAGAGGCAGTTGCGGTGTGGTAAGGCAGCATAGACGCCACGCTGACGCTGCTCATCTCCACAGGTGACCTAAGTCCAAGCTCGCACATCCAGCACCAAATTTATCACAATCGAAACACAGGCAAGCATAAATGGGAAGCAATCAAATTTTCAATCGAAGAAAAGTACCTGAAAATGCGAGCGGATAAGGGTTTCTGAGTCGGGAAACGGAAAGGGGAAGGAGAAGCTCTGGGCTTGGCACCGGCCGAGATTCTGGAGGCGGCGCCTCGGGCGGAGGTGGAAGCCGAGCGCAAGACTGACCGTGCGGCGAAGGAGGCCATGGCGGTGGCTGAGCTGAGGCGTAGACTGTGGAGTGTCAGATTTACGGCGTGTGTGAGCGGAAGAGGTAGCGTAGGGCTTTGTTGAGGTTTTAGTCTTTTAGATTTTACCTTTTGGTAGGATATAATGATTTTAAAAACTTTTAAAATGTTATCGTGCGATCATAAATGATATTCAATAATATTTATAAATTAAAAATACTTATTAAATAATATTTATAAATTAAAAATATAAAATTAATATGTAATATAATTTATTTATATTAATTTATTAAAAATTATTAGGAATTTATGAAACTTTCATCATTACTTTTTGAGATTTTATTAAGAATTTTATTTAGTTATTCAGTTTGCATGAAATATTCATTGTATAATAACTAATATTAATAAAGTTAAATTAGTATTTTTTTAATTTTTTTTCAAAAACATATTAAACTGAAACTTTGTTTAATACTTACTATTGCTTTGTATCAATAAATAAACTCTTGTCACGTAAAACAAATATTTGATACTCCCTCCATTTTGAAATATAAGGCGTATAAAGATTTCTCATTTTTTTTGAAATATAAGGCGCGCTCAAAAATCAAGACAAATTTTTGCATTTTTTTCCAAATATACCCTCATTGTGTTGAAATTAAGGAAGTGTGGAGTGGTTGTGATTAGAGTAAATAAGGTTAATTTAGTCAATTTATTTATTAATTAATGTCTCCTTAATATTTGTGCAATAACCTTAAATGCCTTATATTTCAAAATGGAGGGAGTACTTGAAAACCATCAATGTACAAATAAAAAATAGAGTATAGATAAATCATTTGGCATGTGCAAATTGCACAAAGTATTGATCCTTGAAAAACCGACAAATTGTTGTAAAACAAATACAATATTTTGTTTATTTTTTTGTGTGCAGATTTATACATGTGGATGCGAGCTTTATCTATATAGGGGAAATTTCAATGTTGTCCTTAGGGACAGTGCAGTCAACCCCTAGGGACTCTTGATTTCACACACACCCAAATCAAGGGCCGCTGGAGACTGATTGTACTGCCCAACATCGAATTTTCCCTATATAAATTGTAGTATTACACTAAAAGGTGAAGGAAACTCTTGATTTCACACACACCCAAATCAAGGGCCGCTGGAGACTGATTGTACTGCCCAACATCGAATTTTCCCTATATAAATTGTAGTATTACACTAAAAGGTGAAGGAAATTTTAACTATCTGCTTCACACTCTGTTTCTTCTTTCCTTTGACTCAACTCAACACATGGGAAATTGTCGGGTCAATTAGTGTCGCCATTTGTTTTGTTCTCTTCATCCTCGTAGCCCCTTGGATCTATTCTTGTTTCGTTTCTTCTTTCAAGTGCAAATGATGTTGTGTGGTTGTTGGTTAAGGCTGGAAATGGTGGTCATGGAGTGTAGAGACTGGATTCGTTTGGTCCAAAAGGAGATTTTAGTTTAAAATCACCAGTCATGTTTAGGGTTTCCGGGCTAGATATGAGAGATTTGTCAATAAATAAATAGATCAGTATACAAAGGCTTTTTTTTTTTTTTTTTTAAACTACTCATTGAGATCTCATACATCAAGATAAGAACCAAAGACGCTCATCTTTCTTGAATAAGTAAGACTTTTGATAATTGGCTCATATTATTATTTCTTGAATGAGCAACACTGTGATAACTAAGACTGAGACAGGACAAGATTAAGAAGATAGGTCGGGTATTCGTGTTCATTACATTGTCAGTAAAATTCAAAGCATTACCAAAAAAAATCCAATGCCAAAAGCCTAAAACTGACTCTCAGAGGCAAATATATCCCAATTAAGTCCAAGTCTAGTATCCATATCTCATGAGCATAAAGAATAAAATGGGTATGGTATTGAAGAATAATGCGATGGAGACAAAGAAGGGGACTTCAAAATAGGGAAATGGGGTCGAATTTATGTTTGTTCGACAATGTGGTCACATGTCGAAGGGAACAATGCATGAGAATGATGCTCAAATGAAGTATGCAAACTCACCTCATTTCCCTTTGATCTTCCCTTATATCTTAGTAGTTTTTCAGCAGGATCAAAATTATAGGAGAACAAATATAACAACGTAATTCCAATTTCCAAAAAAGTTGCCAAAAAATTAAAAATCATAACGGGTTATCCACACCAGCAGTTCCTTGGACAGGGATGAAATCACGTGATTCACAGACCTACAGAAGCCCAAAGAAAATGGTTCAAATCCCTGCACATAGAGTCCTTATAAAGAAAAGGCACATAATTAAAATTGCAATAACTGATCCCAAATATAGCTAGGTGCATGAATAGGTTAGGATCACCAACATGATAACGATAAGGAAAGAGGAATTATCCTATTACAGCATTGCATAACCACAGAAGAGGAAAGAACTGGACAGGAAAGGTGCATGGAACTCATGCAAATGCCATTGAATGTTATAGCTAAAGAAGATGGCATTACTATTATGAGGCTCCATGGTGAACGTGAATAGGGCAGAAGCTGAATCTCATTGGACTGAGTTATGATAAAACAATTCGCTGTGACCTTAAATGAGAAGAGATTCAGGATACAAGCTCTTCTTACTTCTACCCCATTATACAAGATTATGCAGCTGGAATCGTGCGAACAAATTGAAGTGATTTACTTATTGTCTCTTGAACAAGAGGAACACAAAGAAAATCCCACATTACAAGAAGTTTTGAGCAGGTTTGAATATATGTTATAGGAACCAAAGGCTTACCACCTATTAGGGGTGAGCATCAAACTATTTGGTATATAATAGATCTATCTTTAACAATATAAGTAGCATCAACAAGGTACGCGCTCTCAAGGGAAATTAACAACACCAAGAAGGAAATGATTAAAAACCAACCAGTGATAAAGTGATTGTTAGAATAAATGTATAACTTTCAGGGTTCAGTTGAAAGTCAACATATTCCAGGGACAACTAATACAGCTATAAGCAAAGAAATTGCGACCCAGCATTATTACCAGCTGGCTTATAAACAGCTATGTCGCCAAAGTCCTACCACAAATCTCACAAAACACAAGAATCAATCACAATTTTCTTTTGACTCGATTCAGAAAATGGTTGAATATACATGCTCAACTGGTCAATAGGTGTCACCTCCATTTCACGACCTTCACCTAGTCTTTATTCGCCCTACAAGATGATACAGAATACACCTTTTTTACTATGAGTGCTTTGAGATGTACCTCAAATAAAAGATGCACATACATTAAAAANCATTAGGATTTTCTCATTTACATGTTACGTGCCTGTAATTATGAAATGTGTGAGCACTAATTGTACGAGGAGGCATGTATTCTAAATTGCTAAAATGGAAACCCATTAAATCGAAAAAAATAATTAAAAAAAAAAAACAAACATCAACCAACAAAATTACACACTTTAGGATTCCGAATATTGGATCCATTAACAATAAGCCATAAGACATAGATATCTCATTTCAATGCTTATAATAGCCACTTATAATAGGCAATCGGAGAAGAAAGTTGTCATGAATTCTCAACACATGAACTGTTTCACAACTGTGAGCAGTATAGAAGGGAATGAAAAGAATTACCTTCAAGAGTCCAAGCGTGGCTGCGTGGAGCGAAAGAGAGCATAGAAGTCAGAACCGCAGAGGCAGTTGCGGTGTGGTACGGTAGCATAGAAGCCACGCTACTCATCTCCACAGGTGACCTAAGTCCAAGCTCAAACATCGAGCATCGAATTCATCACAATCGAAACACAGACGAGCATCAATTGGAAAGTAACTAAGTTTTCAATCGAGGAAAAAGTACCTGAAAATGCGAGCGGAAAGGGGTTTCTGAGTCGGGACGCGAAAAGGGGAAGGAGAAGCCTTGGGCTTGGTACCAGCCGAGATTAAGACGGCGGCGCCTCGTGCTGATGTGGAGACGGAGCGTATCACCGACCGAACGGCGAAGGAGGTCATTGAGGAAGCCGAGTGTAGACTATAGAGTGGAAAGGGCACACAGATCGTTGCGCGGACGAAGGCGAGGTAGGGCTTTGTTGGGGTTTTGGTGTTATCGTGTAAAACATTTTATTAGCTTAGAGAGATAAAAAAAAAAGGTGAATAATTTTTTACAAACAAAAAAAAAGGATAAATAATTTTTTANACATCACAAATTTTGTACTTTGTTGTGTAATTTTCTTTTTAATAATTAGTCATACAAACTACATGTTTCTTCACTTAACCCCAACAATGTGGCTAAAGATGATTTTGGTGTATAATAGATGGTTTGCATGAGTGTTTTGGTAATTAATATATTTTACATAGAGAGAGTCATGATTAATGAGAATGAGATATAATGAAAGAAATAAGAATAATTTTGTATTATTGAATTCATCAAGAAACGATCATGATCAAGTTAAAATTTAATATATGACAGTCAAACATATAATTGTAATTTCATAAATAAATGTACATATTATAGTCAAAATGTATATATTTGACCATTCAATAAAGGTAATTGATTATTCCAAACGAATCTCTCACCCAATCACTTTAGTGGGGTCCAACTTAACTCGCTCACCCATCGTCTATCTTACATGCAATCACACACATATAAAACACACACACGCGCACAGACACTTCTTTACGCCCGTAGGTCCAGCGCACGCTGCCACCAGTCTCGCCGCCACCGCAACCTTCATCCTTCGCCGCCGTTATCTCTCTACCTCGTCCATTTATCTCCCGCACGACCAACGGCTGCTGGAGACTCACCGGTACACTCCAAAGCTCGCCAATTGTCGGCCTCCATCGTCTCCATCCCTATCTCCGCCACCGCCACAGCGGTTTGTCTCCAACTCCATCTGTCGTCGCGACCTTTACAGCAGGTGGGAATCAGAATCTCGAGAGACAATTATCCGCACACGGTTCGGGCAGACGGTGAGATTGATGAAACACCTATACTCAACGTGGATGACAAAATTGAGCTTGAGCAGGGCTTCCACCGCGTCCGGCGGCATCGCTTCGACTTCTCACAAGGTGGATGTTGAATGAGTATCGAGAGAGATTGGGGGGAGAGAATTGTTTTTTTTTTTTTTAAAAAAAAGATAAATATTGGGAACCTATCATCAATTTTATAAGTTTTAATATATTGCACTTTAGGTCCTATGTAAATTTCCTCAATGTTGCACACTAAAAATACGTAAAATGCACAAAATTGTGTGAGAACGTGCACATTAAAAAATCCGTTATAATTTTATAAAATTGCAGAGTTGTTCATTGGTTGGTTCAAACGGTTCATAAATTTAATAAAATGTCACCGCGCAACCTAGGCTTTTTGTTGGTCGGTTCGATCGAACCGTCCAAGCGGAATGTGAAAACCAAAATAACCGAATCGAACTTTTAAAGAATTGGACCGACCAAACTTTTATCCCAAAACAAACTAAAACTTAATCGAATAATTGGTTCATTCGGTAGGACAACCAAATCAACTAAAATAATTCAAATAAATTATTATTTATATTATAAATACATATTTAGTATTTTAATATATTTTTTAATATTTTTTATATATTCAATATTTTAATACTTATATTTAGTATTTTATATTAATTTGGATGAAAATATATAATATATATATATATACACACACACAATATATAAATAATAAGTTTCATATAATTCGGTTTGGTCGGTTATTTTGGTTGTTTTAAAAAATTAAAGCCGACATCAAACCGAAATAACTAATATTTTAAAAATAAAAATAGGTAACCAACCGAAATATAAAAAATCGAACCGCAATTCGTCAAATATGCAATTCGTCTAACATTATTGTGCACTTTGACGATTTGTTTTAGGCCAAATTAAAATTGAACCAAAATAATCGATTTATTCAATTGGTTAACCGAATTTTACATAAATAATCGAAATAATCTATTATTTATATTATAATATAAAAAAAAATTATACAGTTCTGTCAGTTCAGTTATTTTAAAAAGTAAAGCCGACATCGAACCGAAAATTCGAACCCAAAATTTTAGCTCCGTCAATTTCGATCGCTATTGTGCATCTTGTCCAAGATTGATTTGCATTCTGCAGTGTTGTGTACAAATTGTTATATTACCGAGTACCGAATCGAAGGATCCGTTTCCCGGGTCGATCTCTCGAGGAAGGCGGTTCGGAATTTAGAATTGGTATTGATAACACAAAAAAGAAAAAATAAATCCTAAACACTCTAGTCAGATTGGGGAGGAATTAACTATCAACTAAGAAATAGCATAAAAGCATAAACCTAAAATACCAACTAAATAATAATAAGGAAACTAGGGAATCGGGGATAATTTATTCAAGTTCGCAACGTAAAGCCAGGCAATTGATCGTTCGGTTCGGAATTGACACTCTCGCCTACACGTCTAGCGGTTCACTCCCAATATCTCTTCGTAACATGGGATTGAACATAGACGAGCAAGTTTGAGCATACAATACCGGCCAAGTATCCAATCCCAATAACTTTTCGTAACAAGGGACAAGACACCGACAAGCATGTATTTCAATCCAAAACCTATAGATTATTCAGTTACGAAATCATCTATCTCATGCGAGCCTAGGTCTACGACTTCTCCCCTTTCGGTTCTAAAAGTCGCTAATTCAATTAGAATGTGTTTAATCAACTAATCATGTAGGATCAATAAACCCTAACTGAACAAATCAATATTCAAGCGCAAAATCGAAGTGTCACTCTTCGATTATATCAATAAATTAACCTAAGTGTCACTCTTAGGTTATATCAATTCATCAAGCAAGAATTCATCAAGTCCTAATTAAATTTACTCGCACAAGAACAAACGAATCAAGCTCGAAAAATACACGTTAAACGAGAACAATCATCCCCTATCCCTAGCAATAAGATTTAGCTAAGTAGCATGAATTCAACACAATAAAGCAATTCACCCCAAATAATCATTCTCATGAATTAAACGAGATGAAAAATACTTACAATCAATCCAATCCGAAAGTTGAATCCAAAATACAAGCTTAATCCCTAAAATGGAAAAGAAAGAAAAAAGAAAGAAAAATGGAGAAGAAAGATGGAGAAGAAAAAGAAGAAGAAGAAGAAGATGGAAGATGAAGAAAAGGAGGAAGAAGAAAATGGAGAATGGAGAGGAAGAAGATGGAGAATGGAGAAGAAGTTTTTCAGGCTAGGGCATCCCCAATCGCACCCCTCTTTTTTTTTTCGTCAAAAATCGCCGAAACAGGTTTTTAAAGGCTGAATCGTGACCTCCGCGGCCGCGACTTGCTCCGCGGCCGCGACCTCATCTGTACAGAAATTTGGGACCTGGCAGCTTTTCTTCGCCGCGGCCGCGGCGAAGAAAGGGTCGCGGCCGCGGAGACCAAAATCTGCACTGCACCATCTTACGATTTTTGCTCGTTCGGGTTCGTTTTAACTCAGAATTGAGTTCCGTTTTCTCCTACGTGTCGCTAACGAACCCCTCTATCTAATGGTGTCAGCTTCCCCACAAGATTCTCGAAAACCTGTTCTCCCAAGGTCTTCAAACTACACACCAAAAACGAAAAGAGAACAGAAAAAGACCGGAAAACAAACGGAAAACATCGCAACACTCAAATGAACGCAAAACACATAATAAATGACAAAATGATCCTAAAACCATCTAAATGACTCAATATGAGGGACAAAATAACAACGAAAAACGCAACAAAAATGGGACAAACATGCAGCATGAGCATTTTTAATGTGCATATATAACGCAGTATTATGTAATTTACTTAACAATAATGTGCATTTTAATTATACCTAACGTGAAATTATTAAATTTTAATAAATTAACATATTTGATTCATTAACTAAATTGTAATATAATTAAAACTTATAAAATTTGTAAATAAGTCCTTGAGACTTATCAAATTTCATAGGAGGCCCCTAGATCCAAAATTCAATTTCACGTCGTCTCTTCCTTGTTCTCGTTGTCCTCCTTCTCGGTCAACCGACGCTGGACCTCCATCCCCCCCCCAACTGCCCACCGCGAGAATATCCTCCATCCTCACGCCGCCGTGGATCGAGATCAAGTTTCTGGCACATGAGATTCAACCGTCTTCTTCGGCCTCTTCTTCTCCACTACACTGAAACCTCAATTCAGCCTCCCATTTTTTCCTTCTTTTGGTGTTGGTTGACGGATGACAACTCATATAGCAATTGAAAAGAAAAATGGGAGTCCTCCGCCAATCGAAGATAGGTGCCGCCCAAGAGGTTGGACGCCCTTGCACTGAGCCCCAATCGTCGCCAC